GCGGCCGCGGGGTGACGCCGGCCCCGCGCCCCCGCAGTTCGGCTCCCTCTTCCAGCCCTACGTCCGCTACTGCTCGGAGGAGGAGGGCTGCCTGGAGTACGTGCGGGGCCTCCTGCGCGACAACGGCCTCTTCCGCGCCTACGTCACGGTGAGGGCGGCGCGGGCCGGGCGAGGGGCGGGCCGCGCGGCTTAGCGGCGCCCTGAGCCCGCCTCCCCGCAGTGGGCCGAGAAGCACCAGCAGTGCCAGCGGCTGAAGCTGAGCGACATGCTGGCCAAGCCCCACCAGCGGCTCACCAAGTACCCGCTGCTGCTCAAGTCGCTGCTGCGGAAGACGGACGAGCCGCGCGCCAAGGAGGCGGTCGTTACCATGGTAATGGGGGGCGTTTCTCCGACCGACCCCCGGGCCCGCGCCCGCGGCCGGGCCTGAGCCCTCCGCCCTCGCCCCAGATCGACTCGGTGGAGCGCTTCATCCACCACGTGAACGCGTGCATGCGGCAGCGGCAGGAGCGCCAGCGGCTGGCCGCCGTGGTCAGCCGCATCGACGCCTACGAGGTGGTGGAGGGCAGCAACGACGAGGTGGACAAGGTGGGCGCTGCCTCTGCCCCCCCGGAGCGCGGTGTCTGCGACCCTGCTGGGAGGGGCACGCTGCGGCTCCCTGGTGGGCTCCTGGCCGACTTGGGGGTCCACCCTGACGGCCCCACCTGCTCCCAGATCCTGAAGGAGTTTCTGCATCTGGACCTGACCACGTCCATCCTCGGTGCCTCCCCGGAGGAGACACGGCAGCTGCTGCTGGAGGGGAGCCTCAGGATGAGGGAGGGGAAGGACAGCAAGGTGACCCCAGGGGCCGCCGCCCCCCCCCCCCGGGTTTGGACCTCCCCAGGCGGACGGGACCAGGGCAGCGAGGGCTCGTATAAAGTATTTTTGTCAGAGTGGAGAGGGAAAGATGTACCTGTCCCAACGCGGCCCTGGCTGCTCCTGTAAAGGCCATGAGAGGGCCCCCCAGACTCGGGGAGCAGCTCCCTCCGCCCAACCCCGTTTGTTTAAGATGCTGAGGCTAAGGGGGGCATGCAGTTTCTCTGTGTGTGTAACTGGGGTGTAGACCAGAGGCGCGGGGATGAGCCGGGGGGCGATTAAGTCATCTCCCCTTTCTTCTTCGACATAGAATCTCCTCGCTGGGAAGGAGCTTGCACCTTGCTTTCATTTCAGTTAGGCTGGCCGGGGCGGGGGAGCAGGTCTGAGCAATCCGGGGGAGGCATCGCTGCCGCTGGGGCGGAGGGTCCCTGACCCGGGGCCGCCCCCTCTGCCCGCAGATGGACGTGTACTGCTTCCTCTTCACCGATCTGCTCTTGGTGACCAAGGCCGTGAAGAAAGCAGAGAGGACCAAGGTCATCAGACCACCCATGCTGGTGGACAGGCTGGTGTGCCGGGAACTTCGGGACCCTGGTGAGGAGCCCGCCCCTGCTGGTGGGCTGGGCGATGGCGGCGGAGGCAGGCTGGGGCTGCCCGGGCCCCGGCTGCCCGGGCCCCGGCTGACACCGGCCCCTCCCCACCAGGCTCCTTCCTCCTTATCTACCTGAACGAGTTCCGCAGCGCCGTGGGGGCCTACACGTTCCAGGCCAGCGGCCAGGCTTTGTGCCGGAGCTGGGTGGATGCCATTTACAATGCCCAGGTGAGAGCGGTGGGTGGAGTGCGGTGGGACGAGGTGGGCAGCGGTGCGGCGGGAAGGATGTGGTGCTGCAGCCCCTCTGGCCCCCGCCTCCCACAGAACCAGCTGCAGCAGCTGCGTGCGCAGGAGCTCCCGAGCGGCCAGCAGCACCTGCAGAGCCTGGAGGAGGAGGAGGAGGAGGACTCTGAGGAAGGGGGAGAGAGCGGCGCCTCGGCCGCCAGCTCGCCCACCCTGCGCAGGAGCAGCGACAGTCTGGACTCCCAGCACTGGTACGGGGGCCCCCGCTGGCCGGACAGCCCGTACCCCAGCCCGTGGCCCGGCTGACCCCTCGTCCCGCCCCACAGTGCCTCGGACGGCTCCACGGAGACCCTGGCCGTGGTGGTGCAGCCTGGGGACGCGCTGTCCTCGCCGGAGTCCGAGGGTGGCCCCTTCAGCTCCCAGTCCGACGAGACCTCGCTGGGCACCACCGCCGCCTCCGCCACGCCCACCGGCGAGCTGCTGCCTCTGGGCCCGGTGGACGGGCGCTCGTGCTCCATGGACTCCGCCTACGGCACCCTCTCCCCCACCTCCCTCCAGGACTTCCTGGCCCCGGCCCCTGTGGCGGAGCCGGCGCCCTGGGCCCCGGAATCGCCGCCGGCCCCCTCATCCTCGCCCCGCCTCCGCCGCCGCACCCCGGTCCAGCTGCTGCCCCAGCTGCTCAAGTCCAAATCCGAGGCCAGCCTCCTCCAGCTGCTGTCGGGGGCCTCCGCTCGTGGCGCGCCCCCAGGCCCCAGCCGCAGCCTGTCAGAACTCTGTCTGGCTGCTCCAGCCCCTGGCCCCGGGCCTCGGGCCTCCCCCCGGGAAGCCAGGCCCAGCTGGGATGGCCGGGGGCCGGCGGAGTCGGAGGGTAGAGCCAGCTGCCCAGCTGGGGGCCCCGAAGGACCTGCCGGGAGGAGCGGAGAGCTGCCCTCGGGAACCTCGCCCGCCCTGCAGCCCGAGCCCCCCGCAGGGATCTCTGCCCAGCACCGGAGGCTGACGCTGGCACAGCTCTACCGAATCAGGACCAGCCTGCTGCTCAACTCCACGCTCACCGCCTCGTGAGTGGCCCGGCCTGGGGAGGGGTGGTGGCTGGGCACGCAGCCCCAGGGGCATGGGGCCTCGGTGGGGAGGGGCACTGTCAGAGCAGACAGCATTTGGGGATGCAGGAGGGAGCTTGAGCCTCCCCCGAAACAGGTGAGTGCCTCCGTGGACAGTGGGGGGGAGCAGAGGCCCCCGGGGGCGGGAGGGGACCTATGAGTGGCATCAGCAGGGCCCGTCTTTTGTCTCTGCACCCCCAATCCCCTGCAGGGAGGTCTGAGCACAGGGAGGCCTCCGAGGGTGCCGCTGACGGAGGGACAGCAGCCAACACGCCTTGGGGTGAGCCCGCCCCAGCTCCTCAGCCACCTCGTGTCCGCGCCAGCCGGAGCGCCGGGCAGGACCCCTGCCCGCCTGGGGCCCGATTTGCACTTTGCCAGACTGGACGGAGGGAGGCGGAGGGCGCTCCTCGGAGCCCAGCCCTGGCTGCAGCGCCCCTCAGGAGTGTCCCCCGGCCGCGGCCCCCGCGCTCGCCTCCCCACCTGCACCTGCCTGGGCAGGAGCCCGCCCCCTCCTGGATGGCCACGGGGTCCCAGGCAGCCCTCCAGCCCCACCTGGCCCCAAGGGCCGACCCTGCCCTTACGGTTCCCTCCCTCCCTCCGGCGGGGCGGGGCTTTGTGTACAGCTGCGTATTTATTGAGCTTCTGATTCTTTTATAAAGACTGTGTATACTCACTGGGCAGAGTCCTTTGTCTTTGGAGCACGCCTTGCCCGGCATGGGGGCACCTGGGCTCTGGGCTGGGGCTGCTGCCTGCGCGCCCAACCCCCTTCATCTGCAGTGGGGCGCCGCCGGGATAAGGCTGGGAAGCAGAAGGAGCTGATGGGGGGGGCACCGCCCCAGTACTCCCAGCGCGCCCACGCCGGAGACCCAGGCACCGAGGGCTCACCTCAGGGGGCCCTAAGACTTGGCTTCTGTCCCCCACCCACATGTGTTTGGGGAAGGTGGGTGTGTCTCTCATCCGGGTACTTTTGGCCCCGGCCCTCGATGGCTGGGGGAGGGCTCTGAGGCCCAGAGAGGGGAAGTCATTTGCTCTGGTCTCACCTCAAAGCGGTGGTCTCGGGGCCGGGGGTAGAACTGGGCACGGGGCCCCAGATGAAGCCCGCAGGGTCCCGGTGCCAGGTGAGCTCACGGGTACCAGGGACAGACCTGGGGTGTCCGCTTCCAGGGCCCCTGGGCTCCATCCTGGCCCCCACCCTGAGGAAGCGCCTCTGGTGGCCGGGGCGGGGCTTGGGTGCTGGGCTGGGCGTGGACGCCCATCAGGCAGGGCAGAGCAGCCAGGAAGCCCCTGGCCAGGCCTGTGCTCTCCCGCGGGAGGGCCCGGCTCGGTGCCCAGGCCATGGAGCCCCGGCCAGGGGGCTGTGTGGCGGTGGTGGCTGTGGTGGCTGTGGTGAGTCGGGCGTGCGGGCGGGGAGGACTAGACCTGGGCCCTCAGCAAAGGAAGGGGCCCTCTGGGAGCTGGTGTCTGCCACCTGGCAGCTGCCCCCTCCTCTGACCTAGTTAGAGGCCCGGCTGGGGCAGGGCCCTTCCGCTGAGAGGAAACCCCTTCCAGGGGCCGCATGGGTTGGGGGTCCCCAGGCAGAATGGAACCCGGGTCCCCGCCTTAGAGAACACATGGGTGGGGGGTAGTCTGGTTGTGGTCCCCCCTGTGGGGGGCCGGGAGCTTCCCCAGGCCTGATCTGTGTCTGGGCGGAGGTTGGCCCCACCCCACCCGCGGGAGCCCTTCTGCTCAGGAAGCTGGGAAGTTGCTGCTCTGAGGGTAAGGGCTGGGGCCTCTGGTGGGGGGCGTGGGGGGCAGGGGAGGCACCCCGCGGACAGCCCCACAGCCAGCCAGCAGCACCTGTCCCCAGGCTGCCCTCGTGCTGCTGGGGGCCCAGGGCCAGGGTGGCTCTGCAGGCCCCGGATGCACCTGTGTCCACCGCCACCAGAAGAGGGGTGAACCGCGCTGCTGCGGGGGCTGTCCAGCAGGTGTGTGGCTGGGGGAGGGC